CTACAGGACAGAGTAGAACTGCCCCATAGAGTTTCCAGGGAGTGCCTGGTGGATTCCAGCTGCTGACCTTTTGGTTAGCAGACATAGCACTTAACCACTATGCCACCAGAGTTTCCTCATTAGCCATTAGAGAGATGCCAATCAAAACTACAATGATATACCATCTCACCCTGACAATAACGGTACTAATCAAAAAAACAGAAAATAACACATGTTGGTGAGGTTGTGGGGAGATTAGAACTCTTACACACTGCTGGTGGGAATGCAAAATTGTACAACCGCTATGGAAAATGGTATGGCTTTTCCTTAAAAACCTAAAAATAGAAATACCATATAATCCACGAATCCCACTCCTAGGTACATAACCTAAAGAAATAAGAACTGTGACATGAATAGACATACGCACACCCATGTTCATTGCAGCATTATTCACAATAGCAAAAAGATGGAAACAACCTAAATGCTCTTCAGTGGATGAATGTTTAAACATACTGTGGTACATGCACATAATGGAATACTATGCAACAATAAAGAATAATGATGAATCCATGAAACATTTCACAACATGTATGAATTTGGAGGTCACTATGCTGAGTGAAATGCGTCAATCACAAAAGAACAAATATTGTATGACACTGCTATTATTAAAAAAAACACAAGAAAAGGTATGCACACAGAAAAAAAATTATTTGATGGTTACCAGGGATGGGAGTGGGAGGGAGGGAAAATTACTAGCTAGATAGAAGACATGTTAATACTGGTGAAGGGAAAGGCAATACACAATATGGGGGAAGTCAGCACAACATGACTGTCTTAGTCATCTAGTGCTGCTATAACATAAACACCACAAATGGATGGCTTTAACAAAGATAAGTTTATTCTCTCACAGTCTAGTAGGCTACAAGTCCATATTCAGGGCATGTGGTACTATGCGGTTGGAAATCCTGGTGGCCTGGTTATTAAGAGCTATGGCTGCTAACCAAAAGGTCGGCAGTTTAAATCCACCAGGCACTCCTTGGAAACTCTGTGGGGCAGTTCTACTCTGTTCTGTAGGGTCGGTATGAGTTGGAATCAATTCGCCAGCAATGGGTTTGGTTTTTTTTTTTGGAATGGCTTTTCTCTAAAAATATCCAAACTCTAGTAAAAGATGTTCTCACAATTACTGGTAGATAGTGCTAGGGTGATTTTGCCAAGTGTCTTGGTTATCTAGCACTGCTATAACAGAAATACCACAAGTGGATGTCTTTAACAAACAGAAGTTTATACTCTGACAGTCTAGTAAGCTAGAAGTCTGAATTCAGGGCATCAGCTTCAGGGGAAGACTTTTTCCATCAGCTCTGGAGGAAGGTCCGTGTCATCAATCTTCCCTTGATCTGGGAGCTTCTCTGCGCAGGAACCTCTGCTCCCAGCACTACTTTCTTGGTGGTATGAGGTTCCCATGTGTCTCCGCTCGCTTCTCTCTTTTATATCTCAAAAGAGATTGGCTTAAGACACTATCGAATCTTGTATACCTCATCAGTACAACTACCGTTAATCCATCTTATTACATCATAGTGATAGAGTTTACAACACATAGGGAAATCACATCAGATGATAAAATGGTAGACAATCATACAATACTGGGAATCATGACCTAGCCAAGTTGACAGATATTTTTGGGGGACACAATTCAACCCATGACAATGACCAAGGGAAAGGAAGACACTGAGAGGAATGCAAAAATAAGGAGCAACCACAGTAATTACTATAACAAGACAATCCTGCAACAATAGTATTAACAAACAATACTCTACAAATGGATACACAGGATGTAAGGGAGCACATCCACCTGCAGATAAAGGTTTGGTTGTGGATATTTCTACATACATAATTGCAGGTACTGCCTGTATATCAATATTGACAATAGAGCACACATAGGACACAGCCATGGAAACCTCTTAGACATAACCAAACACCTTGCAGGACAAAGTTCTTAGACTCAAAGACAAAGGACCATAGACTAGGGGGACATCTACATCAATTAGCAGCACATAGATCATAAAGATAATGTTCCGCAACCCTCTTTGGTGAGTAGCGTCTGGGGTCTTAAAAGCTTGCGAGCAGCTATCTAAGATAAAACTGTTGGTCTACTTCCTGTCCGGAGCAAAGGAGAGTGAAGAAAACCAAAGACTCAAGAGAGCAATTAGTCCAAAGGGCTAATGGACCACATGAACCATAGCCTACACGACCCCAAGACCAGAAGAACCTAAATAGTGCCCAGCTACCACCACCAACTGCTCTGACTGGGATCACAACAGAGGGTCCCAGACAGAGTGGGAGAAAAACGTAGAACAAAAAATCATATTCACAAAAAGGACTAGACCTTCTGGTCTGACAGAGACTGGAGGAACACCTGAGACTATGGCCCTGGAATTGAAGCCATTCCCAGAGACCGCCTTTCAGTCAAACCATAGACAGAGCCATAAAATAAACAACAACACCCGAGAGGAATGTGCTCCTTAGAACAGTGAATTATACGAGATCAAAAGGGAAACGTTTGCCCAAAAGCAAAACTGAGAAGACAGGAAGGGGTAGAAAATTCCAATGAAAGGAAACAGGGAAACTAGGGCAGAAATGGTGAGAGTGTTGACACATTGTGGGGAATGCAATCAAAGTCATGGAACACTTTATGCACAAACTGTCTAATGGGAAACAATTTGCTCGCTAAACTTTCGCCTAAAGCACAATAAAAAATTTTTTTAAAAAATCCTATGGAGCACAATTCTATTCTGACACACATGGGCTCGTCATGAGTCAAGTCAACTCGATGGCAACTAGTTTTTAAATTTACATTTCTGTTTTTTGTTTGTTTGTTTTACATTTCTAACATTTACATTTTGTAACACTCAAGGTTCCTAGCAAAAACTTTGCCCATTTTATACTCTTACAAAGTTATCCACAGCAGTTATTCCCAGTCTTTTGCACATTCTACATATTGTCCTCCCCTCCCACCCCCACTTTTTTTTTCTTTTATGGTAAGAGGGAAAACATTTCATTTACCTAACTCCTTCTTAATGCACTGCATTTGTTTAGGAACCAATGCTTTTGAAGCTGCTCCGGTAGAGCCCCTCAGTGAGTTGGCAAGCACAGTGTACCAGAGAAATGCTGCAGTCCAGAAAGAGAGAGAGAAACTTGCATCGTTCCCAGAAAGGAGTGGGGAGGCAGGGATAAGATGAAAACAGGGAGGAGGGAAAAGAGGAGCCTGAGTGTCCCACCATGATCCTCCCAGCCTCCCAAGCTTGTAACCTCAGGGACTCCCCACTTCCTCATGTTTCTTTAGCCTCCCCAGGCAGTGAGTTGCCAAAGCCTACCATTCTTCCTTCTCTGTCACTTGAATGAATCCCCTTCCTCTGTTTCTACTACCACCTTGTTGACTTGGATCGTGACCACTAAGCCCTGAAAATAGCTCTCAGCTGATCTTCCTACTGCCATCTTCTCCACCCTCTGTTACACCCCCATTATCAGACTAATCTTCCTAAAACATAAGTTGTTTACAACTCTGGACAAAACCTTTAGTGGCTCCCCACTATCCTGAATTCAAGGCTCCAGGCTGTGGCTCCAACCTACCCTTCCTGGCCTGTCTTCACAGCGATAGCTATTATTGAACATTCACCAGAGTTAAGCACTCTGTTAAAAGCTTCTAAATGTTATTTGTCTATCCGGAATTCCTTTCCAAGGAGGTTTCTCCTCCTTACTTCATGCGGTCCTGTTAGGCTGCCACTGATGAGGGCTGAACATGTGATGCAGGCCAGCCAATCAGAGCATTCCACTCCTGACCACAGCACTCTCTGAAATTTGATATGTAGGTGTGGAAGAGAGTGGGTTTCTCTCTTCTTCTGGGATTGAAATCTACACAGAACAGTATAGCAGGGCAAAGATGAGAAGAGATGAAGAAAGAGCGAGGAAGAGGGAGATCTGATGACATTTTTCCTCCGTACATGCAGCTCCTCGTACACGCAGCTATCCCTACCCCTGGACTTTTTCCATACTGAGTCCAAAAAAGTCCCATTCTTACTTAAACTAGTTTGAGTGAGGTTTGCTGGCTTGCAACTGACATGAACACAATGAAAAGGGCATTCTGCCTGGCTTATCTCATTTAATTCTTACTACCACCTCATGAAGTACCAAAAAACCAGTTGCCAGTTGAGTTGATTCTGACTTATGGTGACCTCATGTGTATCAGAGTAGAACTATGCTCCATAGGGTTTTCAATGGCTGATTTTTCAGAAGTAGATCACCAGGACTTTCTTCTGAGGCACCTCTGGGTGGACTCCAACCGCCAACCCTTCTGTTAGCAGTCAAGTATGTTAACTGTTTGCAGCACCCAGGGACTCCCTTTGAGAGGAAGGACTGTTATTCTCACCATTTTGATGGGGAAGTGACACCAGAGAGATAAGTAACTTGCCTATGTTCTCACAGTTTTTAAATGGTGGAGATAGAATTTACAATCAGGCAGTCGGATTCCAGAGCCCACACTCTGAACCTTGATCATAAACTCCACGGAAGCCTAGGAAAACTCACCCAGTGTCCTGTGTGTTAGGCAGCAGGCTAAGCACAACTCATGCCTATTCTCATCCCATCTGCTGCTGCTCCCCACTGCTTTCCAGACATCTGGGTCTTTACTCAGGCTATTTTCTCTAACTGAATGCTCTCCCTGACCCACCTCTGCCCGGCAATATTTACTTATCCTTCAGATCCTGGATCAAATGTCAAATCCTTCTGGAAACCTTCAAGGTTATCCCAGCCAGAAGTCAACACTTTCTCCTTTGAGTGTGAAGGACCTTGATTTGAATACCGGGCTAGGTGGGTTTGTTTGTGGGCTTGTAGCATAGTAACTCGTAGGCATTTCTTTGGGAGATTGGGGGACCGATGGTTCAAAGTCACTAGATTTCAGTTCCAGTCATTTTAATAGTAACTGTGCAAAACACACTTTTTGTAACAAGTAATGCCAGTGTTGTGGTTACATGTCATGGCTTTGGAATAAGATAGGGCTGGGTTTGAATTTGATTCTGCAACTCTTGAGTTTGGGCAACCTTAAACAGTTTACTTATTCTCTCTGAGTCTCATTTTCCTCATCTGAATAAGAGGATGAGAGTAGTATTGTTCATAGAGAGTTATGGGAAGTAAATGAGATAATGAACGTAAAGGCTGTGATGGTTAATGTTATGTGTCAACTTGGCTAGGCCATGGTCCTCAGAAGTTTGGCAGATGTTATGTAATTATTCTCCATTTTGTGATCTGATATGAGCAGCCAGTCAGTTGGAAGAGGAGTTTCCTTCGGGATGTGGCCAACTTCCAATATATATGGATGTTCTGGCAAAGCTCACACTCTCTCCTGATCCTGCATTTGTTTCGAAATCCTCTGAACTCCAGTTCCTGGGATGTGAGCCAGCAGCCTGTGCCTGACCTGCAGATTTTGGGTTTGTTAGCCCCTGCAACCATGTAAGTCAGGAGAAGCCTCCAGCCTGCTGCTTGACCCACAGATTTGGGGCTTGCCAGCCTTCACAATTGTTTGAGCCATTTCCTTGAAATAAATCTCTCTCTCTCTATTTACATACACTCTTCACCAGTTTTGCTCCTCTAGAGAACCCAGCCTAAGATAAGGGCCTAGCACAGTGTATATATAAGCACAAAGTAAATGCCCCTATATAGATGTTATTGTTGTTGTGTGCCGTCGAGTCTGTTCTGACACACACACACACACACACACACACATATACCAGTTGCTGTTGAGATGACTCCAACTCATGGTAACCCTATGTGTGTTAGAGTAGAAATGTGCTCCATAGGGTTTTCAATGGCTGATTTTTCAGAAGTAGATCACCAGGCCTTTCTTCTGAGGTGCCTCTGGGTAGACTCTAACTTCCAACCTTTTGGTTAACAGCCAAGTAGGTTAACTGTTTGCACCAAGCAGAACCCCTTTTGTGTGTGTGTGTGTGTGTGTGTGTGTGTGTGTGTATCGCCCCCTTGCACAAAGTAGATACAAATAACGTATATTCTTATTAAACAAAGGACTGACTTTCACCAATATCCACTCTCTTTAAACTTCTCCCAGGCTTCTATTGGAACTGACCGACTGCAGTTGCTTGAGGAACCTAAAGAGAGTTGGAAGCAGCAGGATGAGAAGGAAGATGAGAGTCAGAAAATAAAAGTCCCTTTAAAGAAAGGTAATCATAAAGCATGGGAGGTATTCAAGGGAAATGTTTAGGATTATTTTTGTTTCTTAAATCACCCACATTTCATTGCTTACTTCTTCTTCTCTCTGAATACCAAGTGGGATGTTTTTGTTCTGGTCTCTGGTGTAGTCTGCCTTGGTGTCTTTGGAACGGCACAGCATTCACAGTTCAACCCTCCCCCTGTAAGTGGGCATGAGGTAGTTGTGATGCAACAGTGGTGGCTGCAGCAGCAGCAGCTTCTGACCCGTAGGTTGCGTTACGGTGGTGTGACCTTGACACCAATACTCAGGTTGTGACCCCTGACTTCTGCTCCTCCGACTCTAGTACTGGTTTAATGGTAGACACATAGACCAATGGAATAGAATTGAAAGCCCAGAAATAAATCCATACAGCTATGGTCAACTGATTTTCAACAAGGGTGCTAATGATATTGAGAACTCAGAATTCCCTTTACTATACCTCTCTCTTCTTGAAATATCTAGGGTGGTTTCTGTTTACAACACTAAACTTCAATCAATACACTTTATATATATATGTATATATATATAAAAAGCATATTATAAAAAGGTTTAAAAATGTGAGTCAATTTGAAGTTCATTTAAAAACATATTTAGAAAATTATACTATGTAGATACGACAGTTATCATAAGGGTAGTCACCAATGGCTGGATGCTGAGGTTTGGGAAACGCTGATCTCATTTAATACCCATAACCAGGTAGGCACTATTATCATCCTCAGGAGAAAACTTAGAGAGGTTAAACAACTTGCTCAAGCTCACATAGGTGGTATGTGATGGTTCTGACTCCAGAGCCCTCCCTTTTAAACTTAGGAGAGGAGTCAGAACTTCATTTGGTTGGCCTCTGGGACCAAAGAGCAAGTAGCACCTGAACTGAGTCCTAAAAGAAGATTGGTAGGATTTAGCCAGTAAGTGAGGTGGGAGGATTTCTAGACAGAGGCAATAAATAGCACAGGCAGAGTGGGTGGTGTGAGTGAGCACCATTGTAGGAACTGAACACAATCCTATAATTCTGGAACAAAAAGATCATGTGGGAACGTGAAGCCTGAGAGGTAAGCAGAAGTTTAGTCCTGGGCAGACTTGTGGGCCAGGCTGAGGAGATGAAAAGTATTCCTGAAAGCCAGCAAGCTACAGGAGGACTTTGATCATGGGGGTGGCCTTTTCACATGGGAATTTTAGATATTAGACCCTTATTGGATATATGGTTCCCAAAGATTTTTTTCTCAGTCTGTAGGTTGTCTTTATACTCTTTTGATAAAGTCCTTTGATGAACATAAGTATTTAATTTTTGTGAGGTCCCAATGATCTATTTTGTCTTCTGCTACTCGTGCAATTGTTGTTGTATTTGATAAACTATCATTCAAAAAACAAAACAAAACTAGGTTCCATAGTTTCACCGCTACATTTTCTTCCAAGAACTTTATGGTTTTGGATTTAACATTTAGAAACTTGATCCATTTTGAATTCATTTTAGTGTATGGTGTGAGGTATGAATCTTGCTTTATTTATTTTGCATGTGGAAATACAATTTTGCCAGCACCACTTGTTGAAGAGATTGTTCCTCCCCCATTGAATGAACTTAGCACCCTTGTTGAAAATCAGTTGACCATAGATGTATGGATTTATTTCTGGGCTTTCAATTCTGTTCCATTGGTCTATGTGTCTACCATTAAAACAGTACTAGGCTATTTTGATTACTGTAGCTGTATAGTATAACATGGGAATTTTAGAGAAGTTACCCTGGTAGCCTGGGGCATGACCAGGTGAAATTGCCCAGTAGAGAGTTGGAAACAAGGGTCTAGAGCTCACAAGGGAGCAGTGGGCTAAAGGTGTGCTAAGGAGCCATTGGCATGTAAGGGAGTAATGAAAATGGAAACCATCTGCTTTCACAC